CGGTTTTTGAGTACTGAACTTGCATTGTGGCCTATTCCCAGCTATCCTCAAGGTTTTTAGCTTTACCTTGAAAGTCCCTTGTACTAGATAGTGGTCTGAACGCACATCTCCTCTCCTCGATCTTGTGTCCAGTAGGCTCCGTCTTCACTTCCTTGAAATTGGAATGAAGTCTATCTGGTTTTTGGTGTTTCCATCTGGTGAAATCCATGTCGTCTTGTGTATATCCTTGTGTTTGAACGCCCTGCCACCAATCACTAAATCATTGATGGCGCAGAAGTCTGAGAAGAGTTCACCATTGTCGTTCATTTCACCGAGGGCCTCACGATTCATGGTGAGTTCTCTTCCTGTGTTGTCTCGTCCCAGCTTCGCATTCATGTCGCCGATCAGGATTTTGATATCGCCATTTGGGAAGTTGTCCATTATTGTTTGTAGTTGTCTGTAGAACGCCTCCTTTTTCTCTTGTTCTGAGACGTTTGTAGGCGCATAGCATTGATGTGAGTCGGTGGCACAGTGGTTAGGACTCTCGACGACCATGCACATGGTCCGGGGTTCGAGTCCACGCCGGCGCACACCTGATATCTATGGTCGGCCTGAAATATTTGGGCTACCGATATCCATACTGAAAATTCCATACTTGTACCAAAAATATAGTGTGGAATTAAGCTATAAATAAAAAAAATGACTGTAACTTTCCCTCCTTTTGAGTTGAACCTGGCTGTCATTATCCTGAAGGAGATTGGTTCCCACTGCATGAGAGCTTTGGTTGCTGTTGGTGACATCATGATGACCACTCCCTCGGTGTGCTCATGGTTGTCTTCTGGCTGGCCGGAATAGATTACTGTCTCTCCAGTAGGTAGTTAGCACCTTCCAGTTCCGTTCCATCTGCTCTCGCAGATTCCCAACACTTCTATTCTGTACCTTCTCATTTCACCGGCTATCTGGGCAGCCTTTCCAGTTTCGTACATTGTACGAACATTCAAGGTACCCATCCTTACTTTTGCTTTCATCGAAAGAAGGCACATCGGCTGACTGGCTTCCCGAAGGCTTTCACCAGCCTGCGTCATTTCACTACCCCGATTCCAGCGAAAAATAAGGCTATTGTTTATATTTTTCTGTAGCGATTTGGTTAAGTTTAGGGGGTGGAGTTGCTAGCACCACGCCCCAACCCTCCCTCTTTATCCGGGCTTGGGACCGGCTAGAAAACTAGCAAGCTAGTATTCTAGGCGAGGTTGACCGAAGACATACTTTAACATATATCAGGCCATTTACATACCATAAAAGTCTGTTCCCACAATAAGACAAAGTAAACTGCTTCTGTTCACTATCACTATCATCACCTTTAGTGCTATATAACTATCTGCTAGTGAAAGTTCCAGAAGTATAAGAAAACGTGACCATCTTATAAGCATTCGTAGATTGCAGCTCAAGGTGTTTAGAAGACTCTGCATTTTGTCAGCGTCTTCGCCTAGAAGGACTATATCGTCTGCATATTCAAATTCAACGAGATTATTCCCTGGTAGCAAGTCAATCCCTGAGTCGCTGAAGTCACTTAGGGTTAAGTCCATTAACACATCTATGATGAAGTTGAATAGAAAAGGGATAATGGGCATCCTTGACGGACACCACTGGTCGTCACCAGTTCAGATGACAGCTCGCCGTAAGCCCTCACCTGGCTGTATGAGTACGAGTAGAGTGCCTTAATCAGTGCAATATATTTTCTCGGAATTCCCTTTACAGCCAAGCATCTCCAGAGAACTTCCCGATCGACAGAGTCGAATGCTGCCTTTAGGTCAAGAAATATAATGACTGTTGGACGCCGGTAGGAATGCCTATGTTCTAGAATCTGTCGGAGGGTGAAGATATGATCAATACACCCTCTTCCTGGTCTAAAGCCTGCCTGGCTCTCTCGTGTTTGTGCTCCCGAGCACCACTCAGTCTACGCATGATTATTGAGCCTAAGACTTTAGATACTATATTAGTCAAGCTAATCCCTCTGTGATTATCACAGGAAGACTTGTCTCCCTTCTTGTATATGGGGATAATCAGTGACTTACACCAACCCGATGGGACTTCTTCTGATTCCCAGACGCTGCCTAGTACCTCAGTTAATGCAGACAGTAAGCTGTCTCCACCGTACTTAAATACCTCTGGAGTCATTCCATCAGGTCCCGCTGCTTTGCCTAGTTTCAGATTGGTGACAGCTTTAGTAACCTCAGTTAGGGATGGAGGACCTGTGTCTATATCCCATTCAGGGAGGTGTTGGATGCTCGGAAGGTTGAGCGTGGCTGTGGGCAATTAAACTGCTCCTCATAATGCTCTTTCCAACGATCCAGTCGTCTATCCTGGGAGCTAATTATAGTGCCATTTTTTTCCGAGATTGTCTCACTAATGATTTGTCTTCTCCCACCCGTTTCCCTGATGAGTCTAAAGAGTTGCCTGGTGTTGCCTATCCTCGAAGCTTTCTCCATCTCTTTGGCTTTTGTCGCCCACCACTGTTCACGGTCCTTGCGGAGACTTTTCGTAAGTTTCCTTTTGTGCAGCTTTCGCTCCTCATTGAATTCGGAGCTCGCCGGAATAAGTCTTCTAGCATCTATCAGTTCGGATGAGGCGGTGGAGATCCAGTGGTTTTTACTCACCTTTGGGTTTACCTTATTCACAGCTTTTACAGCTGTATCTATGGCTGCCTGGATATTTTTCCAAGCTTCTTCAGGGTGAGCACAGCTGTCGAACACAGATATGTGTTTAGCTAGTTCTTCCTCAAATACGGATTTAGTTTCCTGATCGAGCTGGGGACGTGATGGTTTTACCGCCAGCTGTTTCCTACGTCCGTTCAGTCGTAAGCACACCCGAGCGCGGACCAGTGCATGGTCGGTATCTACACACGTGTTCCAGAAGGAGCGACAATCTCCTACCGACCCACGCCAACGATAGCTTATTGCTATGTGGTCTATTTGTGTCCAGCGTTGGTTTGATGAAGGGGGTCTCCAAGTCAAACAGTGTCTCTCCTTGTGTTTGAAGTTAGTGCTTACAAGAAACAAATGATTATCAGAACAGAACTGTAGGAGACGGTCACCGTTGTCGGTTCGCTGGCACGGAACTCCATAGGTGCCACCGACATCCTTCTCAGATTGACACAATTTCCCTACTTGAGCGTTAAAGTCACCAGCTAGAACGACTATGTCTGAGCGTTTAGCCTTTCTCACCAAACTAGACAGCTTTTGGTAGAACTCATCCTTCGTTTCATCTGAACTGCAGTCAGTGGGGGCGTAGGCGGAGATTACGAAAAGGCATCGGCGAGTAGTGCAGTCCTTTCTCCTTCTTACTGATCCGTTCAGACGGACAGCACACATTCGGCTATCTACCGGGATCCAGTCAAGCAATGTCTTTTCTGCCCTAGTACTCAAAGCTATCCCTACGCCAGCTAATCCTCGTGAACTAGCTGTGGCATCTCCTGACACCCTCAAGGTGAATTTTGCAGATTCAACCTGTTGGCCAGGTGGGGTTAGGTGAATAACCACACTTGGGTCTTGTATGCGTGTTTCTGAAACACAGCATACATCAATGGCTCGTGATGCCAGGGTCTTGGCTAGTGATGCTTGTTGTCCTATTTGGCAAAGTGTCCTAACATTAAGAGCTCCTATATGAAATTGGTGGCGCGGCTTTAAGAGGCTGTCGGTGGTGGTTTTTTGGCTTCCATCGTTTTTAGTGGACGCAGAGTGGAGAGGAAGTGGAGAGCTATCAAGTCGAGGAGTTGCATCAGTGGAAGGAAGGCAAGATGATAGAGATGAAGATGAAGACAAAGATGAGTGAGTAATAGAGAGGTTTCGTGTGCGTTTCGGATTGTGAGGGCGATTGTTACTTCCCGGCTGCCCACACCGTGGAAGTTGGTTGCGTGACCGCAGAGCCCAGGGGACAACTGCTTGAGGCCGGTCACACGCGGCCTGTTTTTGTTTGTTCTTTTTGTTTGGTGTGTCTCAGTAGCATATTTATCACTCCTGCCCTGTGACACGGCAGCAGGAAGCGCGGTCGTTGTTAATCCGGGCCACGGCCGATCCGGCATGAAATTTTGTATTGATCATGATGTTGGATTGGGTAGCTGCTTTTTGTTTAACCGCTATCCAAACAACCTGCCTGGCATGGTAGAACCTCAAGAGACATAAGTCTCAGCCAGTATAGCTTGAATAGATCATTGCGGTGTTCAAGCCCGACCACCACGTCAAGGTAGCAGGTTTCGGTCGGGATGCCTAACCTCAATATTGCTCAGTCAGTTATACATCTTCACACCGAAGATAGAACGCAGGCACCTGTTATTAAAGACCACAAGCTAGGATTTCCATGTCTTCCACCGTCAACGGCCAGGTCTCACAGCTATAAACGAGGACAAAGCGGACAGCGAAACAGTACCACACGTCCTTTTTGGTTGATAGCCGGATATCACATCTACGCCAGAGACTGCGTAAACTGGCATATGCGAAATTAGCCTCCTGTATCCATGCTGAGATTTCGTCAGCGATCAACCCGTTGGGATTGATGCAACTTCCCATATAAGCGAACCGGTCAACCAGCTCTACCACTTCACCCCTATTCCTAAGATGGGAGTCAATGTAGTCCAGACCTGTAACATCATCTTGCATTTGGTGGGAGAGAATCGCATGTCAAATATTGGTAGATTGCAGCTCAAGGTGTTCACAAGACTCTGGATTTTGTCAGTCTTCACCTAGAAAGACTATATCGTCTGCATATTCTAAGTCAATGAGATTTTTCCCTGATGGTAACAAGTCAATCCCTGAGTCGCTGAAGTCAGTTAGGGTTAAGTCCATTAGTACGTCTATGATGAAACTGAACAGAAATGGGGATAATGGGCATCCCTGATGGACACCACTAGTTGTCGCCACTTCAAATGATAACTCGCATACAGACATTCTTTGTCATAGTGTGATGAGAGCTGTCTGATAGCCAAAACTGGTAGGCAGCAATTCACGTCAATGTTTACTTCCAGGGTAAGGCAAACACCATCCAAAGTGGTAAGGACCACACGTGGTCACTTTGAGACGAGGTTACGTAGATACGATCGCAAATGTAAAAAACGAGAAGCAGGTGAACGTCAGAGACCGTCGGAATTCCAGAAAGCAAGACGAACTAACAAAGCCACCATAACCAAGAAGACCGAATCAACTTCAGTCGAAAGTCTTTGACGAGGAGACGGGTGTGGTGAGAGCTGTCTGATAGCCAAAATTGCTAGACAGCAATTTACGTCAATGTTTACTTTCTAAATCTTGGTCATGAGAAAAAGAAAAACAAAGACTTTGAGTGGGCGGATACGATTCACAGATATATGGTCTGACCTTCAAAGAAACGGATACAAGGGATGAAAGATTAACTTTCAGTGAGAAAACAACCAATCAGAAGACGATGTTTCTCTGCTAATAATAACGAATAATAATGTACATAAAAATATATAAATATCTTTTGATTTCCTCAATAAACGATCTGTTACCTGGCCCTTGTCTCCTGTCGTTATACCAGTTACTGCAATATTGATTAATATTTTCTCTACCGAAGTTTTAATTATTAAAAACTGATTTTTGTTGTTGTTGGTGGTGGTGGTGGTGATGAACTGTGTACATGCATTGAACTTTGAACCACCTAAATATCTTTTCAAGTACTCGCATGCTACTATACTTATACTTATTTTTATCATTATAATTATTTCATACATTTAGTGGGGATGAAAGGAGCAATAAAGAGATGCTTCCCTGCATCCAAGTTGGTGACAATGTACAGCACTGCATACTCTATAAACCAATGCGAACTGGATAATTACCCTGCTGATGTTACCTCCTACTGTATTTATAAATTTACGTGCACCTGTGGCAGCAAGTACATTGGACGGACAGAAAGAAAGGCCTCTATCCGGTTTCCAGAGTATATTCCAAGAAATTTATGCCTAAAAGGAAGCAGATATTTACAAAGTGCAATTACCAGACACTTTGTGGATACCGGTCATTTTGTCGAGATTTCTAAATCCTTCAAAATATTAAACATACAAAGGACAGTGAATCTACTACGATTTGCTGAAAGAATTGTAATCAAATATTTCAGACCGCATTTATGCACACAGAAAAAGAGTGTAGTCAATCTTTCATTTCCTTGGCAACAGTATTACTTTCATTACACTGATTAGTCATACACGCTAGTGAGCTCAGCTCAATGAGCAAGTTTTCAATTTGATGAACTTTGAATTCCTATGTAGACGTGTAAGCTAACACTGTTTATTAGATTTTTCAAGTGTTGGTTTGTAGGGATTTGATTGGTTTCAGGATTTCATCATGAGCTGACATTAGTTTGAGAACCACTCGAAAACCTGGGAGTACTGGACAGCTGTTTCGTCCTAGTTTGGGGCTCTTCATCAGTACGCACCCACCGGGATTCGAACCTAGGACCTTCCGGTTACAAGGCGAGCTCATATATCATTAAGCCACTGGGACCCGATCCAATGGTCCTTGAATTCTAACTTCTGCCAATTCACGACATAGTGCAACCGCTAGATTTTTCTATTTTCTGTCTTCCCTCACCCCACCCACCCAATTTTTTTCATGGTTCAAAAGCATATAAATTCATGGTAACTTAAACTATAAATTGTAATACTTATATTCCCCCCAACCGGAACCGTGCAGAGTCCTGAACAATAAATTTATAGTCTTGACCGAATGTTAAATATGGACACGTTGTACATAAATTTTGTTCAGTTGACTAATTTGTCAAACATACACATAACTTTCCTGTTCGATGGAAAATATAGCCGTGTTGTCCATCGTCTCGTCTTCTCACTGATTTTTACTACCTACCTGCTGCGTTAATTCTCGGGTTGTATTCTTTGGAACTAACAGGGATATCTCATCCTTGTAAAAAGACTCTTCAATAACCGGTGAACAAATTCTGTCAGTGGACATAATCCAGCAGTGAATTGTGTCTGTGGATTATATCGTTAATTTGTAGAAGGCCACTATGACTTTTACTTTATTCCTTCACGTTTCCAATGGAACACAGGGCACCTTCAAGCTACAGGCTTGAAGTTTCGGCAGCAGTGGTATTTACTTTTACGAGATGGGTAATGTGTCTAGTCCTATCTTCGCCACAGACTGGATTCTACCAGTCAAGCTTGAAATGTGGCCACCATGCCACTAGGTGGCTTGTCATTACGGTGCACTGTGAATTGTTGGTATTAGATGGTTGGAGGTAATCGGCAGGAAGCCCTGGCCACATTGCAAGCTTGACTGATAGAATTCAATCTGAGGCGAAGAAAGGACTAGACACATTACAATAGTTACTGACTAGTGTGCAATCAAAAGTATCCAATACAGTCCTACAGGAGGTAAATCGCCAAGCCTGAATAGCTCAGTGGTAACGTCTCTGACTGCAACACGGGGTGACGCGGGTTCTAATCTCAGAAGTGACATGAGTTCTTCCAAGGTTGCAGATACGCCTTGTTGACTGGTAAGTGCCAACTAGCACGAAACCTGGGTCCAAGTCTTCCTACCGATTGCCTCCAACCATCTAATACCAGCAGTTGCGTTAGTACGAACACCTCACCACTGCAAAGCAGATAAAGGTGTGAAATCTTTAGGGTTGCCCTTTTCTACATACCACTTGCAACATCCAGAAAGTTTGTTGAGTCATCCGCCGAAAACAGTCCTTTTCTGTTTAATTTCATAATAGATGTACCAATAGACTTAACCCTAACTAAATTCACCGATTCGAGGATTAACTCGTCACCAGGGTGCAATCTGGTTGACTTGGAATATGCAGATGATAGAGTTCTTTTAGGTGAAGACGCTGATAAAATGCAGTCTTCTGAACACCTTGAGGAGCGGAAATCTTAGATATTTGGCATGCGATTCGCTTCTGTTGTAACGTGTAAGATGATACTACAAGACCGGACTGGACTATATCGACTCACCTCAAGCTCAAAGATAAACAGGAGTGAAGCTGTGGAGCGTGTTAACAGCTTCACTTATTTGGGAAGTTACATCAAACCCTGACGGGTTGATCCCTGACGAAATCTCAGTACAGATATAGAATGCTTGTTTAGCATATGCCAACTTACGCTATCTCCGGTTTATTAGACGTGATATCCTGCTGACTATCGATCAAAGGACATGTGTACTGCTCAACAGTTTGCTCAGTCATCCTTTTTGGCAGTGAAACTTGATAGCCATTGGAAGTGGAAGACATGGAAAGAAAGGTTAGCTAGCTGTCTTTAATAACAGGTGCCTGCGTTCTGTCTCTCATGTTAGGTGGCATAGTCGGGTCTGACTGTCTGTCTGTTTTCGACATAGAACTTTGCACAAATGTGCGGAAGTTCAAGTCGTCACACTCCGTGTAGCACACAAAGCAAGAGAAGAAAGTACAAGAAAAGCATAATAGAAACAGTGAGCAGAGGTATGAGACAAAGGAAGAGTAATAACGAAGAACAAAACAGTTTCATTGGAGATCATAAGTCACAAGGAGTGGATGCATCTGCCCTGGCCATTGAGAACGATTTTGAGCCATGCCACCAATTGTTTCCAACCATAGATTTTTACCGTCCCGAGGACCCCTGCCTGGAAGTCTACACCTTTCTACGTGGCTTAGACCAACTGTTGTGGATTTCATTGACTGGTGCCGCCAAGTTTTTGTTTGACCGCCGCTAGCTTTTTTCCAGCCTGACCCTATATCCGGTAACACTGCTCGTCGAGGGAGGCGATGGCTTGGCATACGTAACACATGTCCTAACCATCTCAGTCTTTGTAACTTCACGGCTTCGTCGATTGATCTCCCCTGTTTACCTAGAACTCTACGCCTAACCTCAATGTTGCTCACCTTATTATGCCACTTCACACGGGAAATAGAGCGCAGGCACCTATGATCAAAGACAGCTAGTCTTTTCATGTCTTCCACTCTCAGTGGCCAGGTCTCGCTCACAGCCATAAAGGAGGACGGAGCGGACTGATGAGCAGTACACCCGCCCTTTGGTCGATAGTCGAACATCTCGTCTACGCCAGAGTCGGCGTAAACTGGTATATGCGAAACGAACCCCCTGTATTCGTGCTGAGATTTCATCAGAAATCAACCCGTTGGCGTTGGCTGATGGTACTTCCCAAATAAGTGAAGCGGTCAACGTGCTCTACCACTTCACTTCCCATTTTTAAACTAGGCGTCGATGTAGTCCAGTCCTGTAACATCATCTTCCAGTTGGCTGGAGCGAATCACATGCCAAACATTCGTAGATTGCGGCTCAAGGTGTTCACAAGACTCTGCATTTTGTCAGAGTCCTCGCCTAGAAGGACTATATCGTCTGCATATTCTAAGTCAACGAGATTATTCCCTGGTAGCAAGTCAATCCTGAGTCCCTGAAGTGAGTTAGGGTTAAGTCCATTAGTACATCTATGATGAAGTTGAATAGGAATGGGGATAGTGGGCATCCTTGACGGACACCACTAGTCGTCACCAGTTCAGATGACAACTCACCGTAAGCCCTCACCTGGCTGTATGAGTACGAGAAAAGTGATGGCCTTAATCAGTGCAATGTATTTTCTCGTCATTCCCTTTACACCCAAGCATCTCCAGAGAACTTCTCGATCGACAGAGTCGAATGCTGCCCTTAGGTCAAGAAATATAATGACTGTTGGACGCCGGTAGGAATGCCTATGTTCTAGAACATAGTCGGGTGACTAATACTGTGGAAAGACGGAGAGTCCTAGGTAAGGAGTGAAAGTCAACCGATGAGGTTGTGAAGTTACAACAATTGAGATAGTTAAGACATGTGTTACGTGCAATGTCAGCTGACATAGGGATCAGGTTGTTGGAAATGAGCTAGTGGTGGTGGTTAAACCAAAACATGGCTTCGTCAATCAATAAAATCCACAAAAGTTAATTTAAACCACGTTAAGACGGTAAGAACCAATAAAAGCTGGAGACAATTGGCGATGATATGGCTTAAAATCCTCGTCCTCAATAGTTGGCGCAGATGCATTGATTCACTCCTTGGGATTTATCATATCTAAACCTTCCTTTACTCTCTTCTCTTGCGTGCTGTACGCTACATAGAGAGAAAGAAAGAGAATGGAAACTCGAAACTGGCTGTGCTGCACATCTCTGCAAAATAGTTCTATGTTGAAACCAATCAAGCTGTTTTTTTCTTAAATGAACGAAGAATTGGCTCTCTAGATCATTGGTATTTATTGAAGGAATAAGTTCGTGGTCGTCACAAAAAAAGAAAGAAAGAGGAAACTTCACACAACACTGAATTCCAGGACAAATCAAGTTTTTCGCTGTTTCAAAAAGAAATTTACATTGTAAAAAATACTGTAGTCAAAAAAGACAAGAAGGAGAAGAGGTAACCGGTCACATCTCATCACACATTGCCCTCCTGCAAGGAGAAAGAAGATTTCACACAAAAACTGAAATATTATGCCTTCAACAAGAAAAAACCACCAAAGAGAAAGAAAAAGCAACAAGATAAACAGAATTGTTTATAGTAAGTAAGTGGACACGATTGATTGCACAAAACAGAATGTGTGTGTGTGTTTTTTTTACCGCTTTCTCTCCTGTTGTCGCGTCAAGCATCTTTCTTCGCCTTCAATTTCTCCGCCTCACCTTCTTCTGCTTCGTCTACCTCTTCTTGCTCTTCTTCAAGGACTTCAGATGATTTCAGCAGAGTTTCTTCTGTACAACAAGATGATTGTATGCTCTTTGCACTACTACTACTGTTACAGGCATTAGAAGGAGTTGTAGCAGACGAGGTATTAGTATTGCTATTGCTATTGGAAGAAGACTTTCCTTTCGATTTACTCTTCTTATTCACCACCGGTGTTGACGTCTCTGACACATGTTTCAATGAATACAATGGACGAAATGAATCAAAAAATCCACAATCTTCAAAATAATTTGGAAATAACCAAAAATTGTATTGACCTAAAGTGAACAACCAAACTAGTAGATAGAAACAGAATCGAATAAAACCGATAAAGAATAAAACGCCTAGAAATCCTGAGACAGTTATTGTCAAATAGTATGCACCTTGACGTAATTCTGACGGCCAGATAGGGAATAGACAACACAAGATAATACCGATAATTAAAGCTGTACCAGCTAACCAATTGAACAGACCGGAGGTGGTTCATAGATCCAAATATAAAAGGATTGTGGATCGTCCAGTGTGAAGATCTGTTCATCGACAACTTCAAGACGCATTGGTTTCTTCCCGCCACTACCAGACGATGACTTTGAGGAGGTGATTTCATTGATACTTGAAGTGATTGAGGAGAAGAGACTAGGTTTTGAAGGTTGTGAATCACAGGATTCTTCTACAACAACTGCCTATTGTTAAAAACGAAAAAACAAAACAAGGGGAGTGAATAGTTTACTTTCTGAACAATACCTGTGAATTGTAATCAACTACAAAATTAAATATTATTCATTAGTGTTTCGTTGGGTTACGAAGGGAATATAAGGCTTCCAGAGAACACCTCTACTCTGTGCTGTTTGTCGCAGTCCTCTATCTACCTCCCCCCCCCAAGACTGCCCACAGTCTCTCATCTGTCCATGTCACCCTCGGAGCCATGTTCAACCCGTCGCTTTCCACTCTCGAAGGTCTGACGCGCGATGTTAGTCAGCGGCCTAATCAACATGTGTCCGATTCATTTATCCATCCTCTTCGGAATATTTGTCTGGTATTAGGTTGCTTGTTTGGTTGGTCCGTCTCTAGGGTTTCTTCAACAGTGGGCCAACGAAGGCAGCTATTGATAAAAGCATGCAGAGTAGCCTATTGGAAATGCTCGTCGTGACGCTTGAGTCAAGTCTCTCAGTCATATAGACGAAATGACTTAACATGGCAGTTGAAAATCCGAATCGTCTTCTTTGTGTGCTGAGTGCGGACGATTTCCAAACGAATTTAAGACTGATGAATGTTTCCTTTGCTTTTCTGATTCTGGTTTTGAAAGTCTGATCGGTGTTACCACCTGTACTTGAAACGATGCTTCCTGGATAAGTGGAGGAAGTGAGATTTTTTAGATTTCTTCCACTGAAAGTGATTGGTACTTGTTGTTCCCGCCGGTTGGTTAATTATCCCCATCACCACCTCCGTCTTCTCTGTGTTCACTTGAAGCCCTGTCTCCGCTGCCTGCCTCTTATACCGACTCGTTGGTTTTCGCCTAGAAGTCTTCGAGTTTGCATGATATTAGACATAAATCATCTGAGAAATCCAGATCTTCTGTAGTTTTCTTATCGATCCAGCGTACTCTTGTCTTCTCGCTCTTCACACACGGTCGCCTACATAATCCAGTTCACCACAAGTTAGGAAAATCATCAGTGACAGTAGGCAGCATTATTGGAGAAAATTTGTAGCTCAGGTGGATGATTTTCATGTGGTTGTGTTCTCTGGGCGGGATAGTTAATTTGCGAAGCTTTCATTGCTCGCCCTACTAGGCGACATCTTCAGCGCATACTTCAATTTGATGAAGTGAGCTTTTAGACTTATCCATGAGTTTATAAATCATCTCTCCCGGTGGGTGATCTTGAACGTGATTGGTTGTTTTTGTGTGTTTTCACACCTTCTAGGCTACTTTTTTTTATTTACAGCTTGATTCCACACTGTATTTTCGGTACAAGTATGGAATTTTCAGCATGGATATCGGTAGCCCAAATTTTGCAGGCCGACCATAGATATCAGGTGTGCGTTGGTGTGGGCTCGAACCCCGGGCCATGTGCATGGTCGGCGAGAGTCCTAACCACTGTGCCACCGACGCTTGCACTGGAACTGATTATTTACTTGGCTTGAACTTTGATCCTTTGTGTGTGTGTGAAGTTTCTTTCTTATCGGTTGGTAAATTTTGTCTATCTCAATGTGTCTATTGATTGATGATTCACTGGAATATCAGGTGGGCTTCTAAAAATTCTCTAGCATTCTTGGTGTTTCCTCTTCCTAATATTTTGAACGTTGGTTCTCATAGCCGAATTGATGCCCGCGATTGTCTGTATGTAGTGAAATCATAAGAATGCTAGAGGATTTTTAGAAGCCCACCTGGTATTCCAGTGAATCATTAATCAATAGACACATCGAGATAGACAAAATTTACCAACCGATAAGAAGGAAATCTCAGACACAAAGTGTACAAGTTCAAGTCAAAGAAACAATCAGTTCCAATACAAGTAGCCGCTAGAAGGTGTGCAAACACACAAAAACAACCAATCACGTTCGAGGTGCTCACCAGGAGAGATAATTAATAAACTTGTGGAGAAATCTCAAAGGTCACTTCGTCAAATTGAAGTATGCGCTGAAGATGTTGCCTAATAGGGCGAGAGCAATGAAAGCTTCGCAAATTAACTATTCAGCTCAGAGAACACAACCACATCACAAAAAGGCAGCATTATTATTCACTCCTTTTAGGCTACAACTCCTGTTATGGATGCCAAACCATCGCTTTTCTCGTCAACCAATAATAATAATAATAATAATCTGCTTTCTTCCAAAACAGTACTTATGATACGATGTGAAATTCTCACCATCTGGTACAAATATTTCATCTAATTTACTCAACACCAACAAATATTTTACAAGGTATAGGTAGATTAACCAAGATCGATAATAGCAATGTTTTCGGTATTAGCAGTGATAATGAAGTCAAAAATGCACAAAAGAAAATGCTAAATGAAGATGGTAATAATAACGTTAATGGCTAAAATAATTAGATAACTGGAATAGTGTCACCATAAAAATTACAAATAAGAGAAGATAAAAGAGCAATTTATTTTGCTAATTACATAGCAACTTGTAGGTTTCACGCTCAACACTATCTCCTGTATCACATAGAATGCGGGCGAGCCAAATAGGGTATCGTTGGTGTTTTTGTACTCGTTGGTGATGTGAGAGCATAGAATCTTTTCTAATGATTTCTAGTCCTACCTGATGAGATGCAAAGAAGGAGAGAATTGTGAATAGAGAGTGGGGTGTTGACAGTCAGACGATATGGATTTAGGTCACTTCTCAGATGAATTCAGATGTCTGCTGACTATAACAGCAACAGTAATCAATCGAAGAGGCTATGAAACTACATCGACTAAGATGGTTAGGACATGTGTTACGCATGCATGTCTGGCCATCCATCGCCTTCCTCGACAACGGGAAATGTTAGCTGACATAGAGTCAGGTTGGAAAAGAGTTGGTGGCAGTCAAGCCAAAACATGGAGGCACCAGTCTATGAAATCCACAACAGTTAGCTTAAGCCACGTAGAAAGGTTTAAACTTCCTGGTTGGGGTCTTCGGGAGGGTAAAAACCAATAGAGGTTGGAGACAATCGGTGATATGGCTCAAAATCGTCTTCAGTGGCTGGCGCAGATACATCCACTCCTTGTGACCTATGTTTTCCAATGAAACTGTCTTGTTCTTCGTTACTACTATTCCTCTGTCTCACACCTCTGTTTACTGTCTCTGTTATGCTTTTCTTCTACTTTCTTCTCTTACTTTGTGTGGTTCATGGAGGGAGTGTGGCGACTAGAACTACCGCACATCGGTGCTAAGTTCTATGTCGAAAACGGACAGGCAGACAGACAGACAGACAGTAACGAGTTGGTTGACTTAGGGGTACACCACTTGTTCTACTGAGAACCACTAATACACTTCTCAACATGACATAGTTCTTTTTGAGTAGCCTAGGAAAGACTATGTCGAGTCGGCGTGGGGGGGTGGTTAAACAACAACAGGTATAATGCAAGAGTTAACAAATTTTAAAAGTAGAATCACACTATGGTACCATCTAAAATGGAAAATAGAACAGAGACACTTTTATCCTTGAAAATTGTACTACATAATATAAGGTGTAACCTAGATGGGATAACTAATTGTAAGTTAGAAAGAAGACAGAAGTTGGCATGTCTTAACAAGTGTGAGATAATGACCAATCAATATGCTCATGTAGAATGGACAGGAGCACTAGTGGAAAGGCTATAAAGTGTTTTTGTATAAAATCTGTATGGGAAAGCAATGTTATTGATAAACAGTAAATAGAGTGGTAATAAAATGTGGATGGGAATAATAACGATAATAAAATAATAGTAAAAATAATAATCGTAATAATAATAATAATAATAGTGAACTTACATATTTATTACTATTTTATTATCATTATTATTCCCATCATCCACATTTTATTACCACTCTATTACTGTTTATTAATAACACTGCTTTCTCAAATAGATTTTATACAAAAACACTTTACAGCCTATCCACTAGTTCCTGTCCATTCTAAAAGAGACACCTTTATTCTAAGACAGTTAGCTAGCCTTTTGACGTCTTCCACTTTCAATGGTCACCGTCTCACAGCCATAAATAAAGACGGAGAGAATTGGTGAGCAATGCACACACACACATCTTTTGATCGATAACCAGCTGAATACCACGTCTACACCAGAGATGATACAGTTTGGCAAATGCCACAAGAGTCAGACAGTTTTGCAAAAATCGTCATACGCAATAGTCATAAGTCACTTGAGATTTGATTGATGCTCTCAAAGTTAAACTCATCACATCAGATGAGTATAATATCAACATGACACTACACACTCGATAGTTGCCGTTTACCCTGTGGTGGGTTAAAAAGTTTCAACATCATCAGTGAATAAGGATAAACAACTGATCCGCTGTATATTATCCCATGTGACTATACTTCCGAATTCCTTCTTGTCTGTAACACTGTCTTTAATTTTCTCAACATTTATCTGCGACCATCACCTGCAACCCGTCCAGAAATACCAACGACAGCGCGCACACAACTGCAAGTTGACACCAATCCTCCAACGAGAGCTGAAGTCTTCAATGCAATCAAGCTTCTGAAAGCAGGAAAAGCAGCTGGACCACACTGAAAACCCCCTGAAGCACTAAAAGCGGGCCCAGAGACGACAGCAGACATGCTGACTCCATTATTGCAAAAGGTCTGGAAGGAGGGAAAGGTGCCTACTGACTGGAGGAAAGGTTACCTCGTAAAACTACCAAAGAAGGGTGACTTAGGCCCCGGTCCGCAAGAACTGGTGAGGAATCATGCTCCTGTCGACGCCAAGTAAAATCCTGGGTCGCATCATCCTGGAGAGAATAAAGGACGCACTGCATACAGAACTCCGACCAGAACAAGCTGGATTCAGGAAAGTCAGGCAAACCATGTTCTGACCAAATTGCAACTCTACGCATCATCACAGAACAAAGCATGGAATGGCAATCAAACCTCTACCTCAACTTTATAGACTTTGAGAAGGCCTTCGACAGACAGCGTTGACCGCGGAGTAATTTAGAAACCACTCGAGTACTACGGCGTGGCGTACTCCAAATATTCACCAACCTTATTCAACAGCTGTACGACAACGGCACATGTCAAGTGATCCACAACGGAAAACTCAGCGAGGCGTTTGGAGTAAACACATGAAGGAGTCAGAAAAGGGTGCTGGCTTATTATCACCAAGGATATTCCTAATTGTGGTGGACTGACTGGATTATGCGTCAGACTGTGAGTGGGAAACGAGAAGACAGGGATATCCTGGACCGACGCGAAGAACCTAGAAGACCTGGATTTCGCGCGTGGATGACTTATGTTTGATGTCACACAAAACTGAAGACTTACAAGCGAAGACCGACAAACTGGTCGAAGAAGCAGCCAGCGAAGACAGGACTCCAGGTGGACATAGACAAGACGGAGGTTATGAAAATAACCAACCAACCAACCAACCAACAACAGCAACATCAAGCGTCAATCACCATCAACGGGAGGGATTTGGAAGAGGTTACTTCATTCACTTCATTATCTAGGGAGCATTGTCTCAATTACACGCAGTCGGAACAGACGAGGATGTCAAATCGAGCGAGAATCGGGAAGGCGAGAAACACATTTATCAACCTGAAACCAATCTGGAAATCTTCGTCACTCAGCCACATCAACAACAACAAAATTCGGTCGGATTTTCAATACAAACGTATAGTCAGTCAGTTCTTCTATACGGGTCAGAAACTTGGTGGGCAGGTCACAAAGAATATTTCCAACAGCCTGTTGGAGACCTTCATCAACCAACAACTGTCTTTGCTCTATACTGAAGATCAGATGGCCGGGCCGGAAAGAATCGCCAACAAGAAACTATTGAAACAAACAAAAGAAGAACCGATCTCCCAACAAATATGCAGGAGAAAGTGGAGATGGATGGATCGGACACTCGATGACCGCTGGGTGACATAGCACGTCAAACCCTCGAGTGAAACCCGAAAGGGAAGTGGAGAGTGGGTCGTCAGTGCGAGAGTGACATGGGGGAGATCGTGTGAAGAGGAGTTGAAACAGTATGGACTAACTAACATGGATGCAGGTGAAAAGTACAGCAGAAGGAAGACAGAAGCAAGTGGAGACGTGCAGTTGAAGCCCTATGTTCCACTAGGAACCCAAGGGAGCAATAATAACAATAATTTCAAATTCAAACATTAACATTTGCATTTGCTGTTGACTAATCTTTATTGAATAATAAACTCTAGGTCTTTGTTCACAACGCGTTGGATGCTGAAACGGACACTTCGATACTGATTGAACGTTAACATGACATTATGATGTAGTAGTTGACGGTGAGGCCAATATCTAAAGAAGAGTGACCACAGATTGCGAATGCACTAATGACGATGAATGCAAGTCACTTGCTGGATTAAAGAATGTAACATTATTACAGCATCAGCATGAACACTGATCTCATTCTTAAGTACTAATTTGGACAATAGGTTGACATTATGTTGACTGAATGATTGACTGGTTTCAACAGAGAAATTTGCACCAATGTGCACCCAGTTCAAGTCGCCACACTCTCTCCATGTAGCACACAAAGTAAGAGAAGAAAGTGAAAAGAAATGCAAACCAGGGACAGTAGAGATACGAAGCAAAAAGAACAGTAATATCGAAGAACAATATAGTTTTATTGGGTATTATAAGTCACAAGGGGTGGATGTATCTGTGCCAACCATTCAGAACGATTTTAAGGCATATATCCCCGATAACTGTCTCCAAGCCTTCATTGATCCTTACCATTCCTGAGGACGACAACCAGGAAGTCTACATTTGCCTATTTGGTTGAAAACAGATGAAGTCAAAGTGCTAAAAAGTTTAATAACAAAGCATCTTGTGGACTACGGAAGTGATATCGACGCTGCAAAGTCATTCCCTACAGTCAGCAAACAAACAAACAAAAAGATGCTTGCAGTGGCAGAGGCTTGTGCAATTCGAGTGTGTGTACAGAAGGAAATGGTGGTCATCATCACTCTGAATTTACCATGGTTAAATATCCCTTACTTCTTATGATTATTAATATTTTACTCCATCGCTGATTATTATTATTAACAACTCAATTGAAGCTCGTTTGTTAGTACTATTATCTTAAATCATTTCAGCAATTCCAGGATTTTTTTTTGTAGAGACTTGACTTGTTTCACGTTTGATTACGGACTGATATCCGTTGCAGAACCATAGAAAACCATGGAATATCAGACAATGGTTTCGTCCTAGTTTGGACTTTGGTGAGAAGTCGTGACCAGTGGGATCTACTGCCAGATCACGAGTGAGGCTGATTCTAGTCGCGCTAGAATCACTAACTGGGAGAAGTTAGAATTCATGGACTGGTCACTGAGTTGGGTTTCAGTGACTGAATGGTCAAAGATCTTGCCTTGTAACGAGGAGGTTCTGGGTTTGACACCAAGTGGGTGAGTACTGCCATTTCACTTTTATTAATATTATCATGCACTCCGCAATTCCTAACATTTTTGAGTCTTTACTCTGATAACTAATTGTTTATTTAAGTAAGGCAAATGAACAGTACTCCATTATCATCTCAGATATATTTAATCTCTTATAACCCTTCCCACTCACTACCTATCTGAACTTCGCCTATAAAACATTCGCACCTGTTGTTTCACATAATTGGATGATTGTATCTTATATACTTATCAGTCCTATATCACCTTATGTATTTCTAATAGTATACATATTATATGAGTGTATATAGAGTATTCAGTTGAAGAGTTCTATAGAAATTCGATGCATTCATTGAATCCTGATTTATTAGCCTTTGTTCCTTGTTTTGAATTCATATCAGGCGGAGAAATAAGTGTTTCCAAGACAACTATCCCGCGTGGTCTGGCGGTTAGGATTCCCGGCTCTGACCCAGGCAGCTCGGGTTCGACTCCCTAAAAGCAAGCGCATTTTGCGACACGAGTGGTCCAGCTGATTACGCTTGTTGGCGTCGGAAGTACAGTGGTACAATGAGTTCGCCAACCACGCCTCTTGTGGTTCGGGGTTTGATCCCGGTTCACTGACGCACTTCTAAACCTCACTAAGCCAGGAACCAAAGGGCGTGTGTACTGCTCAGCATTCCGCTCCATCCTCCATTATGCCTGGCTGTGAGACATGGCTATTGAAAGTGGAAGACATGAAAAGGCTAACTAGCTGTCTTTGATCATAGGTGCCTGCTCTCTATCTCCCGTGTGAAGTGGTATAATAAGGTCAGCAATATTGAGGTTAGGTATCGGTCGAGTGCTAGGTAAAGAGGGGAAATCAATACACGAAGCTGTGAGGTTACATCTACTGAGATGGTTAGGACATGTGTTACGTATGCATCCCTGGCCATCGTCTTCCTCGACGGGCAATCTTAGCTGACATAAAGTCAGGTTGGGAAAGAGCCAGTGGTGGTCAAACCAAAATATGGCTTCATCGGTCAGTGAAATCCACAACAGTTAGTTTGAGCCAGCCACGTGGGAAGGTATAGACTTCCTGACTGGTAGTGGTTGTCGGGACGGTAAACACTAGTGGCTGAAGACAATTGATGTATCTCAAAATCGTTCTCAATAGTTGGCGCAGATGCATCCACTCCTTGTGACTTATAATACCCAATGAAACTATATTGTTCTTCGATGTTACCGATCTTTTTGCCTGATATTCCTGTTTACTGTCTCTATTTTGCATTCCCTTTTACTTTCTTCTCTTGCTTTGTGTGCTGAGTGATGTGTGGCGACTTGAACTGGGTGCACATCGGTGCAAAGTTGTTCTATGTTGAAACCAGACAGACATACAGACAGAAGCCAGTAATAAGACCGATGAATAGGGAAGGTTAGGCTAACATTAAGCTGACAGCAACCCCATCTCGTAAGGAAAATAAACCTCACTGCTACCGAAACTTCAAAGCTCTAGTTTCAAGCCCTACACGTTCCACCACTAAAATCGGAAAAGGAATACAAAAAAGATCTAGCCGGCCACAGTGTCAAAAAGCACAAAAGGGATAAATACATACATTTCCATCTGGAGAGGATTCAGTAGTTGCTTTACTGGCGGTAGCCGCAGCAGCAGCAGCAGTGGTAACAGGTTTCCCGTCAACAAGTTTTTTCACCGTCTTTGACTTTGACGACTTTGTCTCTTCACGATGTTTCGATGACTTTTTCTTAATACGAACAGCACTACAAAATGTAAATAAATATTTAGCAAGTTTTACACATACCGTTGAAACATTTGCTTTTGAAACATATTGGTCATAAAATTGACTGCAGCTGTTTGACTGGTGAATAGATACGGTTTCGTATCATTATTTAGCTTAGCCCATGGTGATTCCATTAGGAGTTCTATCGCCTCCATGGCAACGAATACACGTACAATCATGCCAGACAGACGGGCCTCTTTTGACGGTAACTTTTTGTGCAAATAGTTGGCAATACTGATTTCATCTGGTGATGGTTTCAATGGATCGTCGTCAATCTTATCTCCGGCTAATCGTTGCTTCCGTTTCTTCTCAGACATATTTTTTTTAAATCTATAAGCGAAGAAAGCGAAAATGTTATTACAGCTTAAGGAATCGTGTTATAGTAGGATCGTAGACTCAACTACGATACTGAGGATTTATGGTTAAAAGAGGAACTTTATTGAAAAATACGATAAGTATTTCAGTGGAGAGGCTCTTTTCTGTGGCGAATTCATTTTGCGCCCCCAAATGTACAATCGCACCTACATACAACAGTTTTTGCATAAAAAGAGTAGTAATAAAAGTGATGAGTTATCACAAATACAATTGTTACTATTTGTCAATTCATAAAAAAGAATTGAAACCCAAAGAGCAAGATCTCGCAGCTACTGCTATGTGTAAATATATCAGTTCATCTGTTGCTGTGGAGCCAGGTACATTGGTCATTCGACGTGTATCCTGCTTAAAAGAGTTGAAGCATACTATAAGTCACAAGGAGTGGATGCATCTCTGCCATCACTGACAGCGATTTTGAGCCATATTATCGCCAATTGTCTTCAGCCACTAGTGTTTACCGTCCCGACAACCACTACCAGTCAGGAAGTCTATACCTTCCCACGTGGCTGGCTCTAACTAACTGTTGTGGATTTCACTGACCGATGAAGCCATATTTTGGTTTGACCGCCACTGGCTCTTTCCCAACCTGACTTTATGTCAGCTAAGATTGCCCGTCGAGGAAGACGATGGCCAGGGATGCATACGTAACACATGTCCTAACCATCTCAGTAGATGTAACTTCACAGCTTCGTGTATTGATTTCCCCCATTTACCTAGCACTCGACCGATACCTAACCTCAATATTGTTGACCTTATTATACCACTTCACACGGGAGATAGAACGCAGGCACCTATGATCAAAGACAGCTAGTTAGCCTTTTCATGTCTTCCACTTTCAATAGCCATGTCTCACAGCCAGGCATAAAGGAGGACGAAGCAGAGTGCTGATCAGTACTCACACCCTTTGGTCAACACTCAACCGGATATCACGTCTATGCCAGAGACGGTGTGACTTTTGATCTTCAATGAAACTGTTTTGCTTTTCTTTATTACTCCTTTGTCTCACACCTCTGCTCACTGTTTCTATTATGCTTTTCTTGTACTTTCTTCTCTTGCTTCGCGTGCTACACAGAATGTGGCGACTTGAACTTCCGCACATTTGTGCAAAGTTCTATGTCGAAAACAGACAGACAGACAGAGACGGTGTAAACTAGCATTTGTGAAACTAGCTTTCTGTATCCGTGCTGAGACTATTTAGTATGTACGTATGCTTTCGAAGTGCTTTAATTTAATCTGAAATAAGTGAAAATTTTTTGACATCTGATATATCCTTTGCATTGGACAATTATACAAAGAAATACAAATGGATACTTGAATGCGACTGAACCACAGAAGTCTGATTGACTGGTTTCAACATAGAATTTTGCACAGAAGGAAAGCAGTTCAAATTGCCACACTCTATGGACCACACAAAGGAAGACAAGAAAGAGAAAAAAGGAACCGGAATGAACGATCATAAGTACATATGAGGGAGAAACAATAGTAACATAGAAAAACAACAGCGATTCATCATATATAGCGAATCACAAAGAGTGAGTGTATCTGCACCAGTACTGAGAACGATTTTGAGGTATATCTCCAACTGTCTCTAGCGATCAGTACTCAGAATTACGAGGACTCCAACCAGCCACAAAGTCTACGCCTCCCTACACGGCTGGCTGTCTAGCTTAAGCTAACTGTTATAGATTCCATTGACCGATGCCGACATGTTTCGGTTTGACCGCCACTAGCTTCCTTCCAACTTGATCCTGTGTCAGCTAACATTTCTCGTAGTCGAGGAAGGCGACGGTTAACAGTCATGCGTAAGACATGCTCTAGACATCTCAGTCGATGTAGCATCACAGACTCATCGATTGGCTTCCCTCCTTACCTAACACACTCAATCCCTAACCAACTCAGTATTACTCACCTAACATCGAAGACAGAATGATTTAAATGTTCTACATTTCTTAAGCTGACATTATAACTTATTATTGAAAACATTTATTTCCCGATACGAATTTAAAACAAGCAATAAAGGTTAATAAAGCAGGATTTAATAAATTCATCAAATTACGGTAGAACTCGTCAGCTGAATACTCTACACGGACATGTAGAGTATTCAACTTATCAGTCTTATATCTCGCTATGTACTTTCAAAAGTATATATATCCGTGTATGTAGAGTATTCAGCTGACGAGTTCTACCGTAATATGATGAATTCATTAAATCCTGCTTTATTAACCTTTATTGCTTGTTTTAAATAACTTATTATTATTATTTATTTAAACGCATAAAAAACTTGGTACAATATGGCACCAAGAAAGATGCGCCACACAATAATAATAAAACAACATAGATCAAAAAAAAGGAAGGAAGGAAAAGAAAAAATATATATAAGTAGAGAACGGATAAAGAACTTCATCTGGAAGGAAAACAGTCATGCTTAACAAGTTCAAACAGTGTTCGTTAGCTATCATCGGGAAGGGAAGAAAGAAGGAAATTGCAACACATTCGCCACTGATTACGATTCTTGGCCATATCCGATAACGTTTCGAGCCATCGATTTGAGCTATCTCTCGGACCCCAACCAGGGAGTCGTGACACACCAACCGATGCTAATCTAGCACAAAAATCCTTCATCCCACGACGCCACGTCATGGACTGACCACCTCTCCACCTTTTCCATCCCGTCCCAGGGCTAGCGAACAGAGACCTGTACGGAAGCCTCTGGGGTGACATTCGGAGCACATGTCCAAGCCACCGGAGCCGGTGTTTCCAGATGACGACATTCAATGAATGATGATCTCCACTTTGTTCAAACACACGCCACCGAACCTCAGAATTACTCACGCGATGATGCCATCGAACGCAAGCAATCCTGCGGAGACAGCGGTGATCGAACACGCAGAGTCGCCGCACATCCTCAGCTCGGAGAGGCCAGGTTTCACAGGCGTAGAGCAGCGCAGCCCGCACCGAAGCATTGTATACCCGACCTTTGACAGCCAGGCTAACGTCGCGACGGCGCCAGAGGTGGCTCAAGTTGATGTATGCCACCCTAGCCTTCATTATACGGTTGGAAATCTCATCCGTCACCCCTCCACCAGCACTCACACAACTACCCAGGTACACAAACTTATCAACAACTTCAAGCGGTTCACCCGCAAGAGTGAGTGCAGGTACAGGCTCCTGCCAATCTTGTAACAGTACTTTGCACTTAGACGGCGCAAAGCACATACCATACTTACAGACACTGATCGCCAACTGATTAAGTGCGATTTGGGCAGCCTGCATGCTATCGCACAGTAAGACGATATCGTCTGCATACTCGAGGTCGAAAAGTCTATCTCCAGGTAGCAGATCTACACCACCTTCACGCACATCCTTCAGAGCTGACTCCAGAATGTCATCGATGGCAAAGTTAAAGAGAAATGGAGAGATTGGGCAACCCTGTCTAACCCCACTGTTGGTTGGGAACAGTGGTGATAGTTGGTTGTATGCCCTCACTCTACCTGAGGTGTTTCTGTATAGGGCTTTCAGGATGTTAACAAATTTCTCAGGTACACCTCTCTCTAACAGACAGTTCCAGAGCACAGTTCTGTCCAACGAATCGAAGGCAGCCCTAATATCAAGAAACACAACGATCGTTGGCCTGCAATACGTGTGGCGGTGTTCCAACAACTGACGAAGGGTGAACACATGATCAATGCATCCACGACCTGAACGAAACCCAGCCTGCTCTTCGCGAATCAATCCTTCACGTATTTTGCACAGTCTGCGAAGCAAGACAGCAGCCAATATTTTAGACGCGACTGGTAACAGACTGATACCCCTATGATTGTCACACGAATTACGTCGACCCTTTTTAAAGATGGGGACGATAATGGCTTCGTTCCACATTGATGGTACACTCTCTGTCTCCCACACCTTCCTGAACAACCCAGTTAGAGCCATTGTGAGAGTCTCGCCACCATCTTTAAAAAGAGCCGGGGGTAATTTGTCTGGGCCGGGCGCCTTATGGCGTTTCAGAACTTGGAGTTCCTTACGGACCTCCGCTTCGGTGGGTGGGTCGGTACTAACCGACCAAGGAGCACTCGGGCTAATGATAGTAGACATTGAAGCTGGTGGCCAGCTGAACTGCTTCCCGAAGTGCTCTGCCCAGCGTTCCAGGCGTCTTTTCAGGCTGGTAACTTATTATATTGACTAGACAAGCGAGTCAACTCTAAACAGGTGTAATAAGAATGATTCAACACCTATTCAACCAGATATCTGCAAAATTCTACTAAACCTAAGACGATGAATAGCAGACTACAAAGAAAACTATAAAACAGAAGTTTCCAAGTCATGCGAATACGATTGATATGATCAAGAACAATAAAATTTGTTCGAAACTCCGTCATCCAGTAAATAATACTGTTTCGCTGTGTGATACATCCATCTAATAAACACACTAATATGGAATTACTTGGTACCACAGTGCCCACGTTTTACACATATATTGACAATAAACCATGTCTACGCTGACCGGTTTCAACATAGATATGGCAGATACGAGAGTGAATCCATCTGCGTCACTAAGAATGATTTTGAGTCATATCACCAGCCTTCATTGGTTTTTACCATCCCGAGGACCCCAACCAGCCACCCAGTCTACATCTCACTACGTGAGTAACTCACACTGACTGTTAAATATTTCACAGACTGATGTCATCTTTTCATCTGACTACTACTAGCTCTTTTCCAAACTAAACCTATGTCAGCTAACATTTCTCGTAGTCGAGGAAGGCGACGGTTAGTAGTCATGCGCAACACATGTTCTAGACATCTCAGTCGATGTAGCATCACAACCTCATCGATTGGCTTCCCCTCCTTACCTAACACACTCAACGCCTAACCAACTCAACACTATTCACCTAACATCGAAGCGTCGGTGATATAGTGGTTAGGACGCTCGCCGACCAGGCACACGGTCCAAG